TGCGCTGAGCAAGTTGTTGGCCCGAGTTCCTCTGAGCAAGTGCTTCAAATAGATCTCTGCGCAAGTTGCTCGAGTTCCTTTGAGCAAGTTCTCCAAGCAAGTTCTCTGCGCAAGTTGCTCTGAGCAAGTTGTTGGCGATGAGTTCCTCTGAGCAAGTTCTCCAAGCAAGTTCTCTGCGCAAGTTGCTCTGAGCAAGTTGTTGGCGCGAGTTCCCCCGAGCAAGTTCTCTGCGCAAGTTGCTATGAGCAAGTTGCGCCGGCGCTATTTCCTCTGAGCAAGTTTTCCAGGCAAGTTCTCTCAGCAAGTTGCTCTGAACAAGTTTCCTCTTTTCGCGCAACAGTTTCGTACTTATAAACATGCGATTTTCAAGCCGGAGCTGCGGAAGTGTACTTCGCGTGCTACTTTCGCGCTTACAAGTTGCTATGTTCCAGCCGGAGCTGCGAAAGCTGACTTCGCGTGCTACTTTCGTTCTCAAAAGCTGCGATTTTTCAGCCGGAGCTGCGAACGTGTACCTCGCGTACTACTTTCGAACTTACAAGTTGCGATTTTTCAGTCTGAGCTGCGAAAGTTTACTTCGCGTACGCGTACTACTTTCGCACTCAAAGTTGCGACTTGTCAGCCGGAGCTGCGACAGTGTACGTCGCATACTACTTTCGTACTTCAAAGTTGCGATTTTCGAGCCGAAGCTGCCGCGGACCACAAGGGAATCGAACCCGCGACCCGCCGTTGCGAAAAGCAGGTGCGCAAACCGAGAGCACTTCAGCACGCACGATTTCCGCAAAGGGCTCGCCGAGACTAAGCCGAGTCGCACGGGGCCGCAGCGAGCGAACGCGATCCCCGCAGAGGGTCGCGCGCAGATCGCAGAACTAGTAAAAAGCTGCGGTTGTTGAACATCAACCACGCGCGCAGATCAAAATCGAAAAATGTCCTCAGTTTCTTGACCTCGACCACGCAGATCTCAGCAGAGGGTCGTGCTCCAACAGGAGAAATTAAAAAGCCCACTATACACTTGGCTCTGCGCACTTGGCTCTGCATGACTTGGCTCTGTGCAACTTGGCTTTGTGCAACTTGGCTGTGTGCAACTTGGCTGTGTGCAACTTGGCTCTGTGTGACTTGGCTCTTTGCGGCTTGGCTCCGTGCAACTCAGCTCTGTGCAACTCACTCTGTGTACTTATCCTGGGTAGTTTAATCCACGGGCTCCGCACAGAAGAACCCTTCGCGGTGCAAACGAGAACAACAGCCGAACGAACGAACGAACGAACGAACGAACACAGACACACACACACACCCACACACAGAGACCGACGCACACACACACACAGACACACGCAGAGTCGAAAACACAGTCACACGCACAGTCGCACGCACGCAGGCAAACACGCACCCACACACACACGCACACAAACATAAACACACACACACAAGCAGGCACAAAAACTCACACACCCAAACACTTACGCTGCACATTAAACCTACTCGTACAGGTGCATGTCACTTAACTTACACTTGCACTTACACACGCAAACACACAAACACAAACACAAGCACAAACACAAACACAAACACAGACACAGACACACAGACACAGAGACACACAGACACACAGACACACCGACACACAGACACACAGACACACAGACACACAGACACGCAGACACACGGACACACACACACACACAGACACACACACACAGACACACACAGACACACAGACACACAGACACACAGACACACAGACACACAGACACACACACAAACACACACAAACACACACACAAACACACACACACACACAAACACACACAAACACACACACACACACACACACACACACACACACACACACACACACACACACACACACACACACACACACTCAAGCACAACCCACAACACACAACACACACACACACGCCCACAACACAACACAC